TGCAGGGACTTCAGTAAAATTAGCACCATATATTAGATAAATTTGGTTTTCTAAGAAGAATTACCAATCACCTTAAAATCATAGCCCAGCGTACTCCCTAGCTATAGTCAGTATACACAGACTGTCCGTCCCTCAGATTCTAGGTTAAAAATCTTGTTCCGAGCCAGCTTTTAAAAGGCTCCTCCTCCCTCCGGTGACATATTGTACCTCAAAACAGCATCCTGTACCCACCATATTCACCACATGTATATTACTATGATATTCTGTACAAAGAATGCCTTGTAAGCTATCCTATGGAAAATAATGAGTAACAGAAATTCCACTGTTCTGTCAAAATACGTATGTCATTGTATCTGGAGTATGAGATTCTGCTCTATGGTGGTTGTTACTGAAACATGTTGTAAGTCTAGGAATTGCTAGCTCTCCAGTGGCAACAAAGGAGTGAAGGGCATTGGGGACTAGAGGGGGGAGATGGAGGTGCTGAGAGGAGTCTTGAAAGAAGGGGTGGGTATGAGGGAGGCAGGGATGGAGCAAGGCATGTGTGAGGGCACAGGGGCATGAGGGGAATGGGGGCAGAGAGGGTGAGGGGGGTGGGCATCAGGGAAAAAGAGGGCAAAAGGGGCATAGGCAGTGAGGGAAGCGGGAGGCACCAGGAGGGTGCAGGAGAAAGGGAAGGTGCAGGTGCCAGGGTATTCTGAGGGTGAAGGAGAAGGGCAGACACCTGCAGGGGAGGGACCAGCACCAGAGGAGAGAGGCAGGGCAGGTGTGTGGAGGGAGGTGTTAGGAGAGGGAATGAGAAGGGGATCAGAGTGGGGCTACTGGAGGAGTGGGCACAGGGGAGAGAAGGTCTGATGTTCTGTCGCACAAAGAGAACTCTCAGAGGAGATTAGTGATGACACCAGAGCCACCCCCGTCCCTCGCCAGGAAGCCTGAGGGCGGCTCCAAAGCCCACCGGAGTCAACAGAAGAACCCCAATGGGATTTGGATTGAGACCTTCCATGGGAGCCTGGTGTGTTGAACCTGGGGAGAACCAAGGCCGCCCAGCTGAGCCCACCCTTTGGGGAAAGTCAGGATCCGTGTTAACCCCCTTGTATCCAGGCCTCCCACACGCCGGCTTCCCTCCCCAGCCCTTGACGACAGCCTTTTCCTGACTGCTGTGCCTGGGCATTTCCTCTGGGGTCCACAGCACCATGAACCCCTACTGGTGTGTGTGTGTTGTGCAGCCCCCCCCTTCCGCTGTGCACAGTCCACAGAGAATGAATCTCCTGCACCGCACAGCTAGGAAATATGGGTTCTAGCTCCCAAGGCAGCAGCTCGGGCTCTCGGCTTGAGAGGTACCTGGTTCACCCAGGAGCGTCTGCGATGGCGGTGGCCATCATGGAGGTGGCAGAGAGGGGGGACACATACGGCACACTCACCCTTGTGGTCTGCTTGCCTCTGAGCTGTTAGCCAACATGACACTCTACCAACATATGACAAGGGTCTCTGGACTGCTGCTTACCTAGAAGACAGTAAAGAGGCAGGAGCACCAGGGTGATGCTGAAAAGGATTTTAAAACACTTTTCCTCCCTTCTCGCCTTCCTCAGCAGTGTCGTCAGCTCCTGCAGGTGGGTCTCAGCCATGGTCACCTGGTCTCGGATGCGGGAGCTCATCTGTTCACAGTTCTTCATTTGGATCTCCAGCTGACTGAGCTTCATTCCCTTTTGCTTCTGCTCATCTGCCAGCCCTTTCGTTTGGATGTGCCCTTCCCCGATTTGGTCACTGACGGCACTCCTGTGGGCTTCTAACGCCTTCTCCGCAGCCTTCATTGTCTCCAAAGCATCTCTACAGTGTCCCTTAATCTTCTCATGCTTGTCCGGGTCTGTCCCCTCGTGGGCCAGGCACTTGGCCAGAGACCCCAGAGATGCCATCCCCACGGAGACCTCACGTTCATAGCTGTCGTCTTGTGAGACCCGTGCTGAAAAAGCCATCATGGGCCAGCCAGAGACGGGGAATGCGCAGCCTATACGAGGGAGAAAATTGTCATGACAACGGGGATGAGGAAGGAGGGGGGAATTGATTTATCGCCCTGCATCACTAGATTGCCCGCCCCATGCGTCATGCAACAAGGACGGCCTCTCGATGAGGAAGCTCGATTTTTCATATAAAAAAAAGTAGTGTGAAGGCAATTGGTTTCTCCTGAGATTGTTCCCTTCCTGCACGCAGGGTATTCAGTGTGCTAGAAACCCAGGAAATGCAGAACGGAGGAGATTCTAAAGGAGGTAAGGGATAGGCCGAGCCTCTGAATCTAGTCCATGATGTAAATCAGTTGTGCTCCACCAAAGTCAATGGAGTCAAGGTCACACCCAAGGTCAGTAAATCCAGTGATCATATGGGATTTAATGGTATTTGGGGTGGATTCTGATTTTAATTACCCCACTGACCTCTTGGGAGTGAAGTCCAGATTCTGATCTCTGCAACCCCTCACCAAAGGCTCTTAAGTAAAGTGAATTGTTCTGGGATAGGAGGCAAAGTCCTCTCATTAACTGATAACTGGTTACAAGACAGGAAACAAAGGGTAGGAATAAATGGTCAGTTTTCAGACTGGAGAGAGGTAACTAGTGCAAGTGTCCATACTGAGACCAATCCTATTCAACTTATTTATAACTGATCTAGAGAAAGGGGTAAATAGTGAAGTGGAAAAATTTGCAAAGGACACTAAACTGCTTAAGATAGTTAAAACCAAAGCAGACTGCGAAGAGCTTCAAAAAGATGTCACCAAAGTAAGTGACTGGGCAACAGAATGGCAAATGAAATATATTTTGATAAATGCCAAGTAATGCACATTGGAAAATATAATCCCAGCTACACATACACAATGATGGGGAATAATTTAACTATAACCACTCAAGAGAGACGAAGAGTCCTGTGGCACCTTATAGACTAACTGAAGTGTAGGAGCATAAGCTTTCGTGGGCAAAGACCCACTTCGTCAGATGCATGTAGTGGAAATTTCCAGAGGCAGGAATAAATATGCAGGCCAGGATCAGGCTGGAGATGACCAGGTGGATCCAATCAAGGAGGATGAGGCCCACTTCTAGCAGCTGATCTGGAGGTGTGAATTCCAAGAGAATAGAAGCTGCTTTTGTAGTTAGCAAGCCATTCACAGTCTTTGTTTAATCCAGAGTTGATTGTGTCAAACTTAAAGATGAACTGTAGCTCAGCAGTTTCTCTTTGAAGTCTGGTCCTGAAGTTTTTTTGCTGCAGGATGGCTACTTTTAGATCTGCAATTGTGTGTCCAGGAAGATTGAAGTGTTCCCCTACAGGTTTTTGTATGTTGCCATTCCTAATATCAGATTTGTGTCCATTGATTCTTTTACGTAGGGACTGTCCTGTTTGGCCGATGTATATAGCAGTGGGGCATTGTTGGCACATGATGGCATATATTACGTTGGTGGATGTGCAGGAGAATGTACCAGTGACAGTATGGCTGATCTGGTTAGGTCCTGTGATGGTGTTGCTGGTGTATATATGTGGGCAGAGTTGGCACCGAGGTTTGTTGCAAGGATTGGTTCCTGAGTTCGAGTTATTATGGTGCGGTGTGTAGTTGCTGGTGAGTATTACATTGGTGGATGTGCAGGAGAATGTACCAGTGACAGTATGGCTGATCTGGTTAGGTCCTGTGATGGTGTTGCTGGTGTATATATGTGGGCAGAGTTGGCACCGAGGTTTGTTGCAAGGATTGGTTCCTGAGTTCGAGTTATTATGGTGCGGTGTGTAGTTGCTGGTGAGAATATGCTTCAGGTTGGCGGGTTGTCTGTGGGCAAGGACCGGCCTACCTCCCAAGGCCTGTGAGAGCAAGGGATCATTGTCCAGGATGGGCTGAAGATCACTAATGATGCGTTGGAGAGGTTTTAGCTGGGGACTATAGGTGATGGCCAGTGGTGTTCTGTTGGTTTCTTTCTTGGGCTTGTCCCATAGCAGGAGGCTTCTGGGTACACGTCTGGCTCTGTCGAGGAAGTGAGGAGACAGATTGACAGAGCCAGACGTGTACCCAGAAGCCTCCTGCTACGGGACAAGCCCAAGACGTCTCTTTGCTCTCAGTACAGCACTGGTCAGTGACTCCATGGGGCAGTTTTCCTCCTACCTCCCCACTACAAATGTAGCATGAAATAATCCTCCCACTTCCGCACATGCACACCCACCACCAGCACTTACCTTCGTGTTCGCTTCCAATCTCCACTCTTGTGCAACTGAACCCAGTGCCCGAGTTGTGATGATATTTATAGAGGGTGCTGTTGACCCAGGCCTCTTCCTAGTGGTGTGTCTGCATCGCTGCATGACCTCCGAGGCATGTGAAATTCCCAGCCGCACCGAGTTCACAAGTTGGAGAATATCTTTGATCACTTGGCCAGCAGGGGAGTTCCAACCCATAGCACCCATGGGTGCTCTGCAGTTGGGACAGTAGCAGCTGAGCCTTCTTGGCGTTAAGCGAGATAGACTTAGCTCCCCAGGCAGCTTTTCCACATTCCCTGCCATGACGGTTGCTCTTTTCTGAGCCCTTCCCAGTTGGCCAACGTCTTTGTGCAGGCGCAGACCTTCGAAACGGTCTCACCTGTGCCCTGTGCAGAGGAGATTGTGATTAATCACACAATTAATCGCATGCATTGCCCCTTGGAAAAGCCACCCCAGTGTTTCCAAGTGGCAGCACGGTGAAAGCCCGGAGTCAGCTGGAGTCCCCAGCTGACCCCAGGCTCTCTGCTGCCCCTTGGAAAGGGGTATTTGGGTGCAGGAGGGGTTTCTGGCCTAGGGGACGGGTATAAGAGGGAGTACAGAGTCTCGGAGGGAGCTCTGACTAACTCCCTTTCCGCAGGACTCCTTCCTAGATAGTCACTGCCCATTCTGTATGTGTGAAATTGATTGTTGTCTAGAGATAGCCTCTGGGAACACTTTCTCCATCTGTTCTGCCCCTGTAACTCCTCCTAGGTTGTATTTACCTAGTTTGGGTGTGCCTGGGGGGTTCTGGGTTGGGCATGTCAGTTTGAATTCTTTCATTCTGTAGCTGTGCTGGGTTCTGGGGGATCCTCACCTCTCTGCAGATGTCGGAGCCCTTCTCCCTGCCTGATGTGTGTTCTGGGATCTCCGGGCCTTGTGGGGTATCTAAATAAGATATGTAATTTGTGCTATGCAAATTGCGTATCTTATTTCGATTGAATTTCAAAGTAGCATATTTTGAAATTTGGCGCATCTGTACAGTGCCAGATTTTGAAATAACGCATTATTCCGAGCCATCCCTTATCCTCTGTGAAATGAGCTTCCCCGGGATTGCAAAATAAATAGCACATCCGTCATCTCAAAAAATATTTCAAAATAACAGGTGGCTTGCATAGATGCAGGGTAGCTAGTTCGGGATACACTATAGACATATCCTAGGCTGTCTACAATCGTGGCTTCTTGCGTAAGTAATATGCAAATGAGGCTAAACATGGAATAACGCCGAGCCTCATTTGCATAGCTAATGAGCCGCCATATTTGCGGAAGAGGCTCTTGTGCCAGAAGGAGCTGTCTACACTGCCCCTTCATGCGCAATAAAAACCCTCTTGCGCAATGCTGTTCTTCCTGAAAATGATCGGCATTATGGCATTGCGCAAGAGAGGTTTTGTTGCGCAAGAAGGGGCAGTGTAGATGCTCCTTCTAGCGCAAGAGCCTCTTCTGCAAATATGGCAGCTCATTAGCTATGCAAATGAGGCTCGGTAATATTTCACGCTTAGCTTCATTTGCATATTACTTGCGCAAGAAGCTGCGAGTGTAGACATAGCTCTACTGTGGGTCACTATTCCATGTAGTGGTGCTTAGTATCAGACACCAGGGCTCTGATGCAGCCCAAAGTTACTCCAGACCCCACCTTCCCCCATCCCGCCCAGACCCAGGCTGCAGATAGGAGGGTGCATGTGACCTTTGCCTGGTTGAGCAGGGGGATAGAGTCGGAGCAGGGACCTGGTACCAGCTCTGCACAGGGCACAGGTGAGACCGTTTCGAAGGTCTGCGCCTGCACAAAGACGTTGGCCAACTGGGAAGGGCTCAGAAAAGAGCAACCATCATGGCAGGAAATGTGGAAAAGCTGCCTGGGGAGCTAAGTCTATCTCAGGGCTCCCAAGTTCCAGAAGGAGAATGTGGAACTGGCTTCTGGGGAGCTCAGCTGCTACTGTCCCAACTGCAGAGCACCCATGGGTGCTATGGGTTGGAACTCCCCTGCTGGCCAAGTGATCAAAGATATTCTCCAACTTGTGAACTCGGTGCGGCTGGGAATTTCACATGCCTCGGAGGTCATGCAGCGATGCAGACACACCACTAGGAAGAGGCCTGGGTCAACAGCACCCTCTATAAATATCATCACAACTCGGGCACTGGGTTCAGTTGCACAAGAGTGGAGATTGGAAGCGAACACGAAGGTAAGTGCTGGTGGTGGGTGTGCATGTGCGGAAGTGGGAGGATTATTTCATGCTACATTTGTAGTGGGGAGGTAGGAGGAAAACTGCCCCATGGAGTCACTGACCAGTGCTGTACTGAGAGCAAAGAGACGTCTTGGGCTTGTCCCGTAGCAGGAGGCTTCTGGGTACACGTCTGGCTCTGTCGAGGAAGTGAGGAGACAGATTGACAGAGCCAGACGTGTACCCAGAAGCCTCCTGCTACGGGACAAGCCCAAGACGTCTCTTTGCTCTCAGTACAGCACTGGTCAGTGACTCCATGGGGCAGTTTTCCTCCTACCTCCCCACTACAAATGTAGCATGAAATAATCCTCCCACTTCCGCACATGCACACCCACCACCAGCACTTACCTTCGTGTTCGCTTCCAATCTCCACTCTTGTGCAACTGAACCCAGTGCCCGAGTTGTGATGATATTTATAGAGGGTGCTGTTGACCCAGGCCTCTTCCTAGTGGTGTGTCTGCATCGCTGCATGACCTCCGAGGCATGTGAAATTCCCAGCCGCACCGAGTTCACAAGTTGGAGAATATCTTTGATCACTTGGCCAGCAGGGGAGTTCCAACCCATAGCACCCATGGGTGCTCTGCAGTTGGGACAGTAGCAGCTGAGCTCCCCAGAAGCCAGTTCCACATTCTCCTTCTGGAACTTGGGAGCCCTGAGATAGACTTAGCTCCCCAGGCAGCTTTTCCACATTTCCTGCCATGATGGTTGCTCTTTTCTGAGCCCTTCCCAGTTGGCCAACGTCTTTGTGCAGGCGCAGACCTTCGAAACGGTCTCACCTGTGCCCTGTGCAGAGCTGGTACCAGGTCCCTGCTCCGACTCTATCCCCCTGCTCAACCAGGCAAAGGTCACATGCACCCTCCTATCTGCAGCCTGGGTCTGGGCGGGATGGGGGAAGGTGGGGTCTGGAGTAACTTTGGGCTGCATCAGAGCCCTGGTGTCTGATACTAAGCACCACTACATGGAATAGTGACCCACAGTAGAGCTATGTCTACACTCGCAGCTTCTTGCGCAAGTAATATGCAAATGAAGCTAAGCGTGAAATATTACCGAGCCTCATTTGCATAGCTAATGAGCTGCCATATTTGCAGAAGAGGCTCTTGCGCTAGAAGGAGCATCTACACTGCCCCTTCTTGCGCAACAAAACCTCTCTTGCGCAATGCCATAATGCCGATCATTTTCAGGAAGAACAGCATTGCGCAAGAGGGTTTTTATTGCGCATGAAGGGGCAGTGTAGACAGCTCCTTCTGGCACAAGAGCCTCTTCCGCAAATATGGCGGCTCATTAGCTATGCAAATGAGGCTCGGCGTTATTCCATGTTTAGCCTCATTTGCATATTACTTACGCAAGAAGCCACGATTGTAGACAGCCTAGGATATGTCTATAGTGTATCCCGAACTAGCTACCCTGCATCTATGCAAGCCACCTGTTATTTTGAAATATTTTTTGAGATGACGGATGTGCTATTTATTTTGCAATCCCGGGGAAGCTCATTTCACAGAGGATAAGGGATGGCTCGGAATAATGCGTTATTTCAAAATCTGGCACTGTACAGATGCGCCAAATTTCAAAATATGCTACTTTGAAATTCAATCGAAATAAGATACGCAATTTGCATAGCACAAATTACATATCTTATTTAGATACCCCACAAGGCCCGGAGATCCCAGAACACACATCAGGCAGGGAGAAGGGCTCCGACATCTGCAGAGAGGTGAGGATCCCCCAGAACCCAGCACAGCTACAGAATGAAAGAATTCAAACTGACATGCCCAACCCAGAACCCCCCAGGCACACCCAAACTAGGTAAATACAACCTAGGAGGAGTTACAGGGGCAGAACAGATGGAGAAAGTGTTCCCAGAGGCTATCTCTAGACAACAATCAATTTCACACATACAGAATGGGCAGTGACTATCTAGGAAGGAGTCCTGCGGAAAGGGAGTTAGTCAGAGCTCCCTCCGAGACTCTGTACTCCCTCTTATACCCGTCCCCTAGGCCAGAAACCCCTCCTGCACCCAAATACCCCTTTCCAAGGGGCAGCAGAGAGCCTGGGGTCAGCTGGGGACTCCAGCTGACTCCGGGCTTTCACCGTGCTGCCACTTGGAAACACTGGGGTGGCTTTTCCAAGGGGCAATGCATGCGATTAATTGTGTGATTAATCACAATCTCTTTAAAATTATATGATTAACTGTGATTAGTTTTTTAAATCTCTTGAGAGCCCTAGGAATAAGCTATTCAGGACGAGATAATCCAGAATAGCTTATTTCAAAATAGCACGTGTACATTACGAGGAAGCCTCAAAATGATTCCGAAGCAGGCTCCCCTAGTGTAGACACACTACCTAGACTTAGAGCCCCCATAGGCAATGGGCAGTAATTATTCTGACTGGCCCCGGGAAGGAGCTATTTGAAAATAGCAGCAGTGGAACATCCACACTACTGGTATTTCAAAATAGCCATGTGAGGAGAGACGTTATTCCTCGTGGAATGAGGCTTACAGAAGTAAGAATAAGCCGGCCGTTATTTCAAATGTATGTCAAAATAATTATGGTGTAGATGCTCGCATTGTTATTTTGGAACAATGGCCATTATTCTGAAATAATAATGCTTTCAAAGAGAGTTGTCCTCTCTCATGGCTCATTTGGAGAGCAAGTGATCAGTTTTTGAGTGCTTTTGACCCCAAACCAGACATTCGGCAACCTTAGCTGCTGGTTCATCATGCAGTTATGCTTCCCCAGGTGCAGTTTCTCCAGCCCACTCGGCTAGCGGTTGCAAAGTCCCATTTAAAGTTCCCATTCATAAATCCCTTCAAATGTTTTGCAGCTTGTTAGATGTGTTGTCGCATTCCAGCCTAGACTGCAAAGTCGCTTCAAGACCTGCTGTGCTCCAGCAAGACGGAACAATAGCAGAAATCTCCCATTTCTGTTCCCCTTCCTTTAAAAAAATACTAGCACTGGAACCTTACTGTGTGTGGCTGAGCCAAATCCATGCGCTACTAAGCAAACAGTTACCTTTCTGATGAGTCCACTCTGTGGCCATGTGACTGTATAAACACATTCTGGGATTCCTTTTAATTTACCACTTCTTTCAACACAGGTTTATTCCATTAACTCGACAGCAAATACATTGATGGCCAGTGTTAGCCTGACTTCTTCACTTCTGTCACTTAAACTGAATGCAACTCCTTGTCTTTCCTCACAGATTGCTCCTAAGGTAAACCTGTCACTGAAGTGTGCAAAATCTCACCCAAAGCTGTATCACTTCCTTTTATACACGTGGGAATGTTCATATTAGAGTCTGTCAGCTCCCCAGTTTACTGCAATATGTGGTGCATTGCGTAATAGCAACATTTGATACTAGAAGACTTATCGGTAGGGTTGCCAGATGGTCTCCCAAAAATACTGAATACTGAACAATACTGAACACAGGCTAAAAAAATCCACTGACACAAACACACATGCTATGTTGAATACTTTATTATAAACAGACTTCTTCCTACACCATCTCTTTTGCATTGCGTTGTATTTTTAAAAAACTCAACAGTCTACAACCTGCACCATATATTTTGCATTGGCTTGTGCAGCTTTTACCGGCGCTGGGAGACTGTGATTGGGCAGAAGCCTGGTGGGGGCGAAAGGGGTGAGAAATAATCTTATTATCACCCACACACTAAGGGATCTTTGTAATTGATTGATTAATTCATCATCACAACTGTCTGAAATTAAAACTGCAACCCTCACCTTAAACATGTCAGCATCAGGCACGCAAATAGTCATTGAAACAAATAGTTGCTAATCCTATTTTTCCTTTGAAACTGTATGGTTGACTGGATAAACTGTAACACTGTGGCACTGAAAGACAACCACAGAAGTGTAACCTGGTTGATTGCAAGGTAAAGAGATATTTATTCAAAATAGTTGTGGAGGCCACCTTCTTAACTCAAATGTCCACAAATTCTTGGGAGAAAAACTTTCTTTGCTAAAGATCAGTATGCTCCTTCCCTTCAATTAACTGCAGAAAACGTTCCAGCTATATTTATACTGAGTGAGCTCCAATACGATTACCTGTAAAAACTGAGGCAGGCCTGACATGGGAAGGTATAAAACTTTGCTCATACTGAAGTCAGTTGGTAAGCCCCTGGTGACTTCCATTAAATCGAAATTTCATAATCGTGTTTTGTATTTCTCGAGGCAGACTCAGAGGTGTGGCCAAAACCAGCCTTACGCTCACTTACACACACATAACATAGATTTCTGCCATCCCACTTGTGATCTGCAGCCTACCCCAGTGCGAATCCACAGAGACACCAGGGGCAGCGGAGGAGTCAAGGCTGGATTCTGATCTCAGTGACCCTGGTGTAAATCTGGAGTAATTGGGGTCAGTCTCAGGCCCACTGAAACACCACATCCCTTCTGCCTTGGTTTATCTCAGCTCTAAAAATTCCTGCCCTTACCCTCCTTAAGCTTTTGAGTGACACGGTTTAGTTCCTCAGCTATTTTCTTTATTGCTTCTTTATCAGAGAACCCCAAGCCCCCCGGTCCTCCCTTTCCCACTGCTAACAGCACTAACTGATTAATCTCCTCCAAAACTATGGTGGCAAATTCATAGTCTGAGGGATCATCGATGTATGATTCTAGCGTGTCGACCTTCTCTGTCAGCATTCTCACAAATGGCATGTGTTTTTCTAGTTCATGCTTCTTTTCCTGCAGCACTTTTAAAAGCTTTCCTAGTTCATTGCTGGCTTCTTTAATTTTCTCCTGTCCAGCTGTGAAGTCCTCAATCTTCTCCTTAATTTCTGCCTTCTCTTTGTCACATGCATAGCCCTCCTTTTTATAGTCGGAGATATGCACTTGGTACTGGTCGATGGCTTTTTGCAGCTCCAGGCCGGCTTTCTGTGCAACCCACATAGAGACCTGGCAGACGATGGTCACGATGCTAGCAGAGAGGAAAAGTGGCTGCGTATCGGTCACTTGGAGAGCTTCTTGGAAGAATTTCATCGAAACTATTTAGAAAAAGAAAAATGGGGGCACTGGTTAAACAAATATTTAGAACAATTATCCAACATTTTGACAAGTATCAGAGGGGTTGCTGTGTTAGTCTGAATCTGCATAAACAATGAGTAGTTCTGTGCTCCCTTAGAGACCCGGGTGGCCAACCTGTAGCTTATGAGTCGCATGCAGCTCATCTCCCCGAAAAGTGCAGCCCCCCAGAATGGCTCCCACCTCCTCTCTGGACCACAACTCTCCTGTGCTCACCAGGGTTGCAATTGAAAATGGTGCCCAAGATGGCGGGCATCTCTGAGAGCCTTATATGGATAAAAAGCCTATGCTTTTTTTCTTAAAGGAGCAGCCTCTTTTTTCTTTTCTTTTTTTTTCTCAATAAGTCTGGTGTAGCTCTTCATATTTTTTCCACCACTGTTTTGGTTCTCTTTGTTAAATGGGTTGGCCACCCCTCTTATAGGCATATTGGAGTATCAGCTTTCATGGCAAAAGACCCACTTCATCAGATGCATGCCATTTTGATGCTCTATTGAGTTGATTGTGTTTGGTTAATAATATAACAAACACCAAATGCACCAGACCAAAAAAAAATCATAAGTAGCATTTGTGTTGCTGGATGGGATTTACAGTTCTGTGGACTCACTTGCCTTTTTTCTCCCCCGGGCAGGTTCCTTAACCAGACGATATCATGGGAGATGTAGTTTGACCAAGGAGCCTGGTCTATACTGGAGAATGGGACCATGAGGCACCTGGACTACAGCACCAGTGAAGCACCTGTCCAGCCTTTCCAAATCGAAACGTTTCCGTTTTCAACAACTGATTGTTTTGATGAAAGCTCAGCACTTTCTGTGGAAAAATTTGACCTGAACAACTTTTTGGGTATGTTTTCATTTAAACTTCTCATAGCAACAAATGTGTGTGTGTGTTTGGGGGGGGGACCATGAGGCACCTGGACTACAGCACCAGTGAAGCACCTGTCCAGCCTTTCCAAATCGAAACGTTTCCGTTTTCAACAACTGATTGTTTTGATGAAAGCTCAGCACTTTCTGTGGAAAAATTTGACCTGAACAACTTTTTGGGTATGTTTTCATTTAAACTTCTCATAGCAACAAATGTGTGTGTGTGTTTGGGGGGGGG